CTTCCAAATCAAGCATGTCTGGAGGAAACAAAATTACTCAATCCTACTCCCAGATTTCACATCATAGATAAATAAAAGTACAAACTGTATTAAATTCAACTACAGCCAATGTATTCAGCACAATCATGCTCAGACTCTCAATTTCAACTGCCTAGTGCATACATATCTTACTCCCTAAGAATAGCGCCTTTGCAAGGTGAAGAAACTTTACTCACAAATTCCATGTTTCTTCAACCCCTACATAACAGATGCACTATATCACTAGATACTATGGCCAAAACCTACATATACCCCCCGTAGCTGTACTAATCAGTTGCCTAACGCCAACCTGACTGCATATTCTGTAAATGCCTTGTAGGTAGTCTAGTAGTGCCAAAAATCACACCTAGTAGAATGGGTACTCCTAAATTCTACACCAAAACGTAACAACTTGAGGCTTTTCAGCTTGTTACCTACACATTCAACTTAACAGCGTCACCACCCTCATACAAAAACATCACCCCGATTTCTGGTTAGCTAAAAGCATTCCAACAACAGAAAAAAAAAAAAGAGAAAGGTTTTACATTTTCTTATGACAAACTAATTTGCAAGAAAAGTGCATAATCAATAGGAAGCACAATCAGCATCGTATTCTTCACTGGCTTTATTGGAAAAAAGAAAAAAGAAACTCAAAAATAGTACCTTAAGACGGTGGCACAAGGTGAGAAAATCAATGGCAGAGGAAGGAGAAGAAGCAGAGGCCTGTGGACAATCATCCGGCAAATGGGTCGGGTTCTTTGACAAGGGTACAGTTTGATCCACAATAAAAGAATCCGGGTTGGGATTGTGACAACAAAGAGAAACCAATCTAGACCTTAATGGGCCATCAAAAAATGGGACCTTTACTGAAAATCGATGAAGACGAGGGCGCATTACATAACAGCTCCCTGATAAAGAAGCAGAAAATTGGCATCCTTTAACTGCTGCCATGGAAAAATCTACGTAAAGAATGAATAAAACTTAAACTTTCTGCTCAAAACAAAAGGACCCTTTTTCAGTTTGTTGTGACAATGCCTTGATTATTTGTTTTCGTGATTGTTTTTGTTGGCTTATATTTTCAGGCGAAGGGGAGAAGAAGGTGGGGAGAGTGGGGAGGCCGTCTGGGATGCTGGGGCAAGTTTGTGGGGCTCCCTCTCTTTTGTTTATGTCCACGTGAAATGTACGCGTTTGTAAATAACATTTTGGGCTGCCTTTTGATAAACGACAGCCTTAACTTTTAAGGCTTCCATGGGCTCTTTCTCAGGTCAGAGTCTGGGAAAAACTATCGTCGCTGAAGTGTGTGACTGGTGGGCTTTTGTCTCCCAAATTAAGAGCCTTGAAGAAATTTATAGATCCGAATTGGCATTGTTTTTGAATAGTATGTTTCTTTTTTATTATTTTGTAAAATTCAAATAGTAGTGATCTAAGTCGAAAAAGAATAAGAAAGAATTCCACGGTATGTGAATTGCAAAAGGAAAGACAATTTTCAGTGAGTTTAGTGATTGAGATATACGAATTTTTTTATGAGAGTTGCTTTCAGTAAAATTCTGAATTCTGAATATTGAATACTGAAACAATTAATTTGCTAAATATTAAGCACTGAAAAGAGATATATGAATATCTGAATCTTAATACTGAACATATTTATACTGTTTGATAAACATTTATAACTTAATGCTTAATAAGCTAAATTGTACAATTTTGCCCTTCTATCTTTTAATCCAAAAAGGAAATAGAACCTATGATTTAATTAGCTTAAAATTGTTAGGTATGAAAATGACAATATTTATTTTTAAATCAAAGTAATATAAAAGAAGAAATATATTATGGAAAAGTCCAAATATCGGTGCAAATATATTTTTAAATCAAAGTTTGATAAGAAAAGTCCAAATATAAGCAAAAGGAAGTTGCAATGAACAAGTTTTAAATTCACACCAAATTATATAGAAATTTAATTACTTCAATGGAAAAATGTTGAAGCAAAACAACAAATAATCAATGTCACTTACCTTGAAAATGATGAATTTGAGATCGGTGAGTATGGTAGCAATAAAAAAAATTGGGAGGAAAAAAATGACAAAATTATGAAAGAGTAGAAAGATGGAAAAAGATAAGGAGTAGACAGATGTGAGGAGCATGGAGAAATTGTAAAAAAGTCATTAAATAGGGAGAAAATAGAAGTAGAAAGCCATTAGACAGAGAATGGCAGGTTATTTAATTAGATAAGGATTTTGGATAGAGAATATTAGGTTGTTTAATTAGTTAAGGATTTTGAATGTAATTAACAAACAAGGATAGATTTGGTAGATAAGATAAAGTAGTTGAAGTAAATTTCTTGATTCTTATCAAATTAAGCATTCAATTACGATTCTTGTGCTGAAAAAAATACATACAAATTCAGCACCACTTAATAAGTTCAGCAGAAAAATTTTTATTTATCAAACACCCAAAACATCTAAATGTCTGAATGAATTCAGTTTCAGCACTTTTTTATGTTATCAAACAGACACTTTGTTTATATGTAGTATTTACGAGTAACCGTTTTCTTTATCTTGTTAAGATAAACGTTTAACATCCATCAATAAAATTTTGGGGAAAAAGTTTTTTTAAAGTAATGATCTTATGAAATTTGGAGAAATTACTCAATTAGCCAAAGTCTAGTAAATAGTAGTAGTTTGAAAAAAAAAAAATCCGTTAACAGGTACAATTGAGGTCGTTCCCACATTATTTACCAAAAAAGAGTTAGAACAATAATTGATCAGCTTTTTCATTGTGCTTATTTTAGCCTTAGTGGAAAAAAAAAAAAGAAATCAATTTCAATTTTATCAATTTCGCAAATTACAATACTCACTCAGTAAGCAATGGCTTATGGGTTTTGAGATGTTGTTTATAAGATATCATTTTTGGTTTGATTTTTCAATTCTTAGCCTCTCTCTCATTGTTTTTTTTTTTTCTAAAGAACAGAACAGTGATAAAATGTTATTCGATGTTAAAGATCCACAGACCTATAATTTTCCATCCAATTAATTTGTTAGAACTTTCGTACCATTCTTCTTCCGCTTGCTTAATAAATGGTAGTATTTCTTTAGATTTCGCTAATTTGTTTCGGTTTTGGTCCAGAGTTTTGCAGTTTTGGTTGTAAAAAGGCTTGTACTCCCCAGTAGAACTTTTTCATGATTCCAACACACAATTTTCAGGAGCTTTGAGTCCCTCCCCAGTCTCTTCCAAGCGAGTAATAAGTGAATTGAAAATGAGAATCATAAAACATAGTGGTCAAAACAAGTTAACTATCAGGATCTTCAATAGCCATCCGTCCCAATTCGTCATCCCTTCGCAGAAGAGAGTAAAACAATCGCATGAAACTAGTGGTAGTAGAACAGCTTAAAAGAAATTTTTGCTACAGGAAGATGGAGCAGAAAAGAAATATTCAGAGAAACGATACACTACAGGATATAGGTCATGGTTATGATGTATTCCCCGGAAGTGGAAGCGATATATTTCCACTAAATCAAGAGTGTCATGAGAGACAGTTGCAACTGCTTTGCACAAAAAGAAGTCGATTTACTTTATCTTTCATTTGGTGAAACTGTTACAGGGAGAGGAAATTAATAATGTTACAGATGTAATCTTAACAATAATGTTGTTGATTGTTTTGGTTTGGTGCCTACAATTTTCTGGAGTTCAATGAGCAGGATTTTAGCATGTTGTTGAAATCTTTGATGCATATTTCACATCGTCCAAGCATGTAGAAATTCCATATCCTAGAAAAGTTGTACTTGCAATAAAAACAATTAAATAGAGTAGAAGTTTACAAAAAATACTTGAAAATACTAGTAATTTACAAACGTGAAGGTAAACTTTTGAACTTCTATCAGCCTCGGGTGGCAAAACTATTGTTGAGCCGAGTTATCCTATCCGAGTTTAACAACATGAGTATCAAAGGCATTGAACTTTGCCCAACTTTCTTTTGATTATTCTCAAACTTTTAGTCTGCTTTCTTCTACTGCCACATCGTGTCTTTGTAACAGTTATAGGGGTTTTCATTCTTGGAGTCAAGAACTGCCATGGTTATGTTTGCATATATAACAGCAGAGTAGCTTTCAGGGCAATGTTCGTTGTTTGGCTTTATCAGCTACCATCTACCATGTTTGGCAGGCTAAAACATAAAGGTGTTTCAATTTAGAGATTTTCTGCTGTCTCAAATAATACAGTCCATCATCATAACTCATGATGTTTGTGCTGCTTCTGCGTTATAAGAAGGATTCAATTTTGTCGGCTAAATTGGGAATTGAGCATTGCTTGGAATTTTGGCCAGGCTATTTTTGTATAAGTTTGTCCTCGACAGTTGTTTTGTACAGTTGTATAGCTATAGATTACTAGCAATTTCTTCATCAGCTTATGTTTTTCATTATAGCTAGATTTTGAAAAGGTGAAATTTTAACGATTTGTGACTTTGGATTTTGTAGAAAATCCTTACATTAATACAAGTCATGTGTTGGGTGTATTGAGTTAAAAAAGTTTAATGTGTATATCATTCTTCATTTGATTACTAAGCATCAAACAAAAACATATATTGCTTGGGTACCTACCTGCCTGCACCTTGCCTTATTATCCGTCTTCATGCAATGAGTAATGACAAATTGTTTATGTACGTTTATCAAGGGAATGGCAAATTGTTGAGACGGAAGCCATGAGCCTTGAGCTTTGAGAGAACTTCCAGCAAAATCCCTATTGAGATAAAACAATTTTCCTTAATTAAAAAAAAAAAAAAGGAAAACGTGACGGCAAAGTTCTGAGTCTCGCCGCCATGACTTAATTGGGAACGGGGGTTCCAAACTCCAAAAGGAAACACCAAAGCCTTCTCTGTCTGTGTGTGTACCTATATATATATGTATGTATGTATATTCTTCGGCTTCATCGACCTCAACCTGATCAAGTGGGGTTCACTATTATCAAAACCCTAAACTCATATCTTCACCAACATGGATAAAATTCCGGCAGACGCTATTCAAGAAATACTCACGAAACTTCCAACAAAATCGTTATTGAGGTTCAAGTGTGTTTCAAAGAGTTGGTGCAGCATGATTGAAGATCCCGTTTTTGTTGATGCTTTTCGTGTTCGCTCACACAATCGAAGCCCCTGTCTCCTTATTCGTAAGAATCATCATGGAAAGCTTAACGATAGAGGTGTACGGAAGGTAAATGACTTTTTCCTAGTGGATCTAAAAGGCAATTCTGCTCCTCTTCCGGTTCCATCTTATCTTGAAACATTAACCTTTCCTTTCGAGGAGGTTGATGGCTCTATTATAAAAGAGGAGCCTTTTCTGCACTTTGTTGAAGGCTTAGCGTGTATTAATAACATCATATGGAACCCTACTACAAGAAAAATCATGGATCTTCCCCCACGAAAGTTGAATCAGAATGTGCATGTGAGAAAGGTGAATGAAGACACAAATATTGTTGCGGGCTCTTATATTTGGTGTGTCTCAGCAGAATACTCTTTAGGGTTCGATTATTCAACCAGGGAATACAAGGTTTTGAGCATCTCTCGCACCGGGTCAAAAATAAATCACGGTATCGGTGGCCGCAAGAATGCGTGGGATACTACTGATGACCAAGTATACGCAGAAGTTTTGACTTTGGGAACAAATTCTTGGAGAAATACTAATTTTTCTCTTCCTCAAGAGCTTGAACCTGACTTCTCTGTTGTGACAAATTGTACGATCAATGGCATAATTTATTTGGTCATCTACCGGCGTCGGTACCGTTATGAACCACCAAGTTACTGCTTACTGAATTTTGATCTAAGCAATGAGAAATTTCAGCTTTTGCCTATTCCCAAAGGTTTTGATTATTCAGATCATGCTTGCGAGGTGGGAGAAAGATTTGCTTTGATTGAGCAACTGAGCACAAAGATTTGGATATTACAAGATTCGGGGAGTGGAAAGTGGACTGAGGAGGATTTCTTGTGGCCTCAAGATTGGTATACAAATCTTAGTTATGACAACAATCGCCCTGTCATCGATTCTTGTATAGAGCCCATTGGTTCTTGCCCAACTGGTGACATTTTGTTTAAAAGACTAAAATTCAAATTTAGGCTTGGTGAGGAAGATGACGAAGAACACTCGCAGCCAAGTGACGAAGAAGAGTCGCAGCCAAGTACTTGTGTATGCTACGATATGAAGCTAAAAAGTGCAAGGACAATCCCGGAACTAAACGGGGTAATCTATCCTAATACAAGGTATGATTGGGATGACATCTGCATCAAGCATGTGGAAACTATACACCCGCTGAAGTAGATGTACGTATTCTTAATTCTACTCGAACAGAAGAGGAATACTTGAGTTGATGAGGTAAATTTTGCTAGGGACCTGAAAGTTTTCGAATTCGTTTTTTCCTGCTGTTATTTCAATTCTTGCATGAGATTCTTTTGCTTTTGCAAATATTTATGGCAAGTACTTTTTTTCATTTGACACATTGGTGAGGACTAAGGCAGCGAAACCATTTCTTGTACGGAATCGAAATATTTTTTGTCTTCTTTGCCAGCAATTTTGCTTCAAAACCTCTTCCCCATTAATAAACTACGTAAAATTGCTCTTTCACTGTGACGTAAATTATATCCATGCACTAATGGCAGCAAATCTTGTTGTCGATTTATTGTTGCAAGATGCTTGGATTTCAAGTCCAGAGATGGGCTATTGGTTTGAACCATAGTGTTGAAATTTTATTCGAAGTTTCTGAGTATCCTGCCGGGAGTGATAGAAGACTGAAAACCACAATTATCGACTACAATATGGACCAGAAAGAAGCCAGGATGATTCCGGAACTAACTGGGTTCATCGATCCTGGTGATGGCATATTCTTCAACCTTGTCGAAACCATATCCACTGAACTAGTAGAGAAGTTTTGAGGCAGTACTTTTGCTCTAGTCAAATTTAGAGTTTTTTTTTCCTCTTATTGATTCAATGAATTGAAATTCTTACCATATGTTATTTTGGCTCTGTCAAGTACCATTCTGGCAAAGTGCAAAGTTAGTACTTCTTTTATAACTTTATGGTAAATTGGAACACAGTGGAGAGGAGTGATGGATTCTGATGTTTTGAGACAAATAATAAATACAAATTATGATAATTAATACAGCTCATTATCTTAGCATTCAGGATCCTCTCAGCCAGTTGTTTTCACTGCCTTCTGTAACGTTCAAAGTAAAGAGGCATTAGAAGCAAACCGATTTCATGGATGGTAGCAACCTGCTTCCACTTTTTTGTAAGTAGGAGGGTTCAAACCCGAGACCTCTCACTTATATTTTTTCCTTCCGGATGCACAAATTTGGACTCTGGAAACAAGTTGTTGAAAAACACTAATCATTCTCTTCGACTTTTTTTTTTGGTCCTTTTTGGGGAAACTACTCATAATACTATAAATAAATCCATAAACATGGGAAAAAAATCTCATCTCTGGTGAAATTTGAACACAAACCTCTGACTCATGGGCCTTAATATTGAGCTTATGAAAGACTTTAATATTGACAATTGTTACCATTTAAGGCATAAGTTAGGTGTAAATTGTAATTATTATACTAGTAACCGCATACTAACTTTTAAGGTGAGCGTGTATAGCTCTCACATTCTTTTTTTGAGAGTGGAAACTGGAGAATGGTGAATCTAGCTAACTTGGCCAGAATCATGGATTGTGAATCCACCCGATGGTCCTTATCTTGATCATGGGATGCGTCAATTGCTTCAATTCAAACCACTCAGATTCTCTTTTCTGTACAAGAACGATTTGGGTCACCATTATACTCCATTGATTACTTTTGTTTTCTCTATGATATGGAGACTCGAAGCATCAGGAGAGTCCCCCAATTGACAGGGAAAAGGGTTGACAGAAAGCCCTGCCGACTAGTGGAAACTGTATTCCCACTGTGGGTGTCATCCTTGTGCCTTCCACAGCAGTTGCAGTTAGAAGATATTTCTCCTTCTTTCTTCATTAGAGAAAGAGTCTTGAGACTTGACAATGCAGTCGAGGAGTTGAGCTTATTTTTCTATCTTATTTGGCAGTTTGTTTTATTTTGTACCATCCTTCGTTAGCTTTCGTGCTTTCTTAGCTTTAATAAAAGTATTTGATTACACAAGTATTTTGTACCATCTTTCGTTAGCATTTGACCGTACCTGGTGTAATGAATTTTTTAACAACATGATATATGGACTTTTACAGTTGGACTAGTAGATTGTACAAAGAACATAAAAAAGCTTTATGAGTTTTTAAAATGTTCGTCTCATTCAATAGATAGGACGGAAAAGAAAAAAACAACTCAACAGTTTTGTTAGGTTTAAATACTAAGCTAGTTTCCTTGTTTCAGACGACTACAAATTACTAGACTCCACCAGTTACGAAATTCTCTTTTGGTGTTTTCTACTACTTAGATGATGAAAGTTTTTAAAAAGCTAAAAAAAAAGAAAAAACAAAGAGAATGTTTTGGACGCATTTTGACCTTTGATTTTGAACTGAAACACTAGTTAAGTGATAAGCATATGTAACCCTCAGAATCACAGTGTTTATTATCTTTATATTTTTCTTTGAATTATACATGTTCAACTATTGAGATGTGTATTGGGGAGGAGCCAAGTACTAAATATTCAGTCAAACTCTATTTCAATAGGCCTCAACCATTTTCCATTGCTATATTGGTATGGTCGAGGCCCGCAAACTCCTATATGTATATGTTTATCATCCCATCCTCATCATGGGACAAAAAAAAAAAAAACTACCTTCCTATCTTGTTGGCAGGATGCAGAAGAGAATAAAAATTATTGACAGCCCAATTCCAGAAGACATTATCTTTCAAATACTTGCAGAACTTCCGGCCAAATCCCTATTGAGATTCAGGTCAGTCTCCAAAGGTTAGTGTTCCATGATAGAGGGTCCTCATTTTGTGAGGTTGCACCGCCTGCGATCCCATCATCTGATAATTGAACAGACCCTCAACCATTTTCCATTGCTATATTGATGCTGGTTAGGACCATCTTTTTTTTTTTTTGTGCTGGAGGAGTATAAAAGTGCAAAATGGGAGAAGGTGAATTTTGTCCTGCCAAAAAATTTGGATGGACAATCCGTTCCTCGAAGTATATTTAATCCTATTGGTACACTCCAAAATGAACAAATTTTGTTTAGAAGAGTAATTAGGCGGCAGAGAAAATTACATACAAATACAACCCTTCCTCCAAGAATACTTGTATCGATTGAGATTTTAAATGATCGGAGAAATTAAATAATCAGAAAAGTATCTACAAATAAGTTATCTTCACACTTGCCTTTTGTTTATGGAGAATATGGTCATGGTTTCTTTTGCTTCTACTATGATTTCGATAGCGGAACCATGAGAAGAGTCCCTAAAATAACTGGAAAATTGCTGGTGAACTTTTACTCCAAGCATGTAGGAACAATATAATTCCTTTGGCATAGTACTCCTAATTTTCCTTTCTTATAACTATTACTTATGTGCAGTTCAAGGATTCTTTATTTGGTATTTTTGTGCAATAAGGTCAAAGCTACAAAACTGAATTGAAGAGCAAGACTGACTGTTTAGTAGGGGGATTAAACTACAAAATTGTTGATTGGATGGCTTTATATCCTACTTCTTCTTCTTCTTCTTCTTCATCATCATCATTGTTGTCAAAACATGCACCTACTATTATTTCCTTTACAAACATTTTTTTTTTGTGCAACCACCTTTATGACAATTGACCTCTATTACATCATTTGCATTGCATGTTTAAAAGGATACTTTGGAAAAGAATACACCTTTTTGCGCATGATGATAAAGAGTTAAACCAATAGTTCACTGTCTAAAGCACACTAAACCCTTGATTCACTGAATCTTACTAACTCTGGACATATTCTGCATGGACATATCGGTTCTCGAACTGATGCTTGATTACTTCTCATATCATACCCTTTCAAATAATTCAAAGGAACAGTTTTGGTTGGTTGAATATTGTATCATATCTCGTGTCATTAATTTGTCACAACATTAAGTAAACACAGTATATATATAGGATTTTCTCTCCAAACTGTGTTTTAAGATAAGCATGTTCGGTTAGGTTCGAATAATAATGCAATGATGTGCTATATTTGAACATAAAGAATGTATAAATTATGGCAAAAGGACAGAACTTATTAATCCAAAAGATAATTATACCAGGCCAGTAAACAGGAAGTGATGATTCTAGAGATGCATAATTTTCCTTGCAGAGTTGAAGGCATAGCACGAATAGTTGAAAATTGAAAGTGACCAAAAGCAACTTGGCATTCGATGACACGGTGTGCTACGCATAAAGCCTCCCATGAATTATTTGTGCCTAGTGAGTATTTGTACTTAAAAAAATATATATTTGTACTTAAGGGGAAAAAAATGAACTACATATCGATGGGAAATCATCATACGCTGACGCAAATTGAGATTGGACTACCTAAAATACATGTGCATATAAATTTGACAAAGAAAAAATTTTTTCTTTAGACAGTCAGGTGGACATCTGAAATCTTTTATGTTAAATTCGACAAATTATACACGTAGCGTACCATAAATTTCAAATAGATGTAACTTCAATTTGTCATTTTTCATCTTATAATCTCATGAATGGTGATGTATTTTTCGGATTGAATTGAACTTCTCAAATCACGTCGCATTATCTCTCAGCTTAATTTCAGTCTTGGAGTCCATTTGTGGATAAACCAAATGTATAAAATGCCAATCAAAGTTTAATCTTTTGTCTGAAACGTGATAAACCTTTCAAGTGATTGTGGATGGCTCATTTGTGGTTCTCCTCTCTTCTCATCCGCTCGCTGCCTAGTATAAATTATTCGCCGTCCGTCCAGGCCTTCACCCCCCATACCATACAAAACTCTGTGTTTTCAACTTTCTTCAGTCCCTCTTTGCTTTTACTACTTCTTTCCCATAATTCGTACTGTACAAAATGTGGCAAAAATTGGCTATCTTGAAGTACATAATAACTGTTGCAACTCATCTCAAATGGGCTTGGAATTGCCTCCTCTATAGGCCCTTTAACTTCTCCTGCCAAAATGACTTTCCAATAAATATTCCTGTTGGCGGAATTGGCATAACGCGCCACTTTCACCATGACGGGTCTCGTGGGGAAGAAGCAGAAAACGAATGTTCAATTTGCCTATGCAAGATTGAGGAAGAACAAGAAGTTGAGGAGCTGAGCTGTGACCACATTTTCCATAAAGTTTGCCTAGATAGGTGGGTGGTATATGGGAACATAACTTGTCCAAT